AAAGGAATCATTTGCTCGGAGATACAAATATGTCTGGCCACTTATCCTCACCGTCAACCTCGCCGTCGGAGGTAAAGATTTGGGAAAGATTTTGCTGGATTTGGGAATTTAGCATTGGTTTGATTTTGAAATTAGACCTTAGAATCATTAGGGTTTTGTGATCAGGCATGAAAAGCTTGGACCTTTGAGATCTCTTCTTTAGATTATATGTTTCTGCTTTGAGTGTTTGTGAAATGTCTGAGTTTCTTGATTGAGATAGATCTTTTTGATCTCTAGAGTCTCTATTGATACACATTTTGTCTTTGAGGTTTGATTAACTGGAATCTATGATTTTGCTTATCTTTATGCAATCATGTACCTTAGATGCAAACAGCAAACCATAACATGATCTATCTATAATCTGTTTCGTAAATGTGTGTAGATGAATATCCTTAAGTTCTCTGTTTGTTTTCTCCTTCTGAAGCTTGAGTAGACCTTGTTTATAGATGTTCTTTTTTCCCTCACATCTAATTAGGTGTTTACGGTTATCATTTTTTTTCCGCCGGATATATGATGCTAGAGTCGATTTAGATAGTTGTTACATCGAATCAATACCTTGCCATCAAGATTCTTCCTTGAGTGGTTCATTGATTCCTGATCTTGGAGATAGAAGTTTGATTAACTCGTTAATGAAATCATTGTGGACTGTGCGAAACTGTCGATATCTAAAGTTAAAGTTACAATCTTTGTGTGTTTACGATGAGAATACTCTCACAGAAACCTTTGTGACACCACCTTATTGATTTGCCAGGTTATCTTTTCTTTAGGACTAAGAAAAAGGACATAGAACCTGCAGATGAAGAGATGGGTGCTAAATCAGGTTCAGTCGCGGCTCTTGTTACCGAGAAAAACCCTGTGTCTTCTACAGTGGTTGCAGAGCCGGTGGTGGTCAAGGCGCGTGAGCCAATACCAGAGAAGCAACAACGTGAGCTCTTCAAATGGATGTTGGAGGAGAAAAGGAAAGTAAACCCGAAAAACGCAGAAGAGAAGAAGCGGATTGACGAAGAAAAAGCGATTCTGAAGCAATTCATAGCATCCAAAACCATTCCTACTATTTGATTAAAGTGCAGTTTCTGTTGATTTGAGCTTGGTTTGGTTTTCATTCTTAATTCTTGTGGATATCAGAT